TATTAGCCACAAGGTATAGATAGGGACTCTGGGGCAAGTGATGCTCTGTCATCTTGGTGCTGGGGGGGGGGTCAACAGTGGGAGGGCTTCTAATGTCCTTGCCCCACTGGTGGACCTCCTGATGGCACTGGTATTTCTGGCCACTGTGTGATACAGCGTGTTGGACTGGATGGGCCTTTGGCCTGATCCAACATTGGCATCTCTTATGTTCTTATGTTCTTAAGTCTTTAATCAGGTGTATATAATGGCTCTTTTTGCTATGGGCCAACTGCATCCTTCCGCAATCTACAGGTAAGACCTTTCAACTCGACTTTGGGGAGGCAAGAAAAGGAGTTACCTAGACTTAGAATATTCCTCAACAGCAACAGAAGTCGAGTCAAACTGCGATAAACTTAGACAAGGTTCCTGAGAATTCTTTCCACAAGCCTTAGCTGATTGGTGTACGCGTGGGATCAAAGGGATACCGAACATTTTCCTGATGCTCTTACTGCCGTTATATAGTTTCTGCAGAGAAGCACAACATAAAAGATTTTAATTCAAATAAAAATGTAATCACTTCAGTCCTTAATGTTGAACTTTATGGCACTAACCAGGAATCCAGACACTAAGTTGGAGGAGAATGTTGGCACATCACTGGACATCAGGAAGCCAAGACACAGAGAATGTGGAGGTACAGAACTCACAGGACCCCAAGGGATCAGAAGCTCCATCTGCAGATGAGTAGGTGGTAGACTGTGGTAGAGAAGGAGTCTCCATTTGCTTGAAGCAATCCAGGAGGCCACAACCCCATTCCACCTTGAGCAGCCAGCCCAAGACACATAAATCTTAGCCTACAGGAGGCTGTCCCTTGTGGCAGCCCAGGATTCTGTTCCCTGTGTAATGAATTACACTGGGCAAATTCTCAGTCAGGTTTTGGCTTTTACTCTTCCTTTTGCCATCGAAGAGCCAGAATAGCATGTGGTGGTTAGAAGTGCCTTCGGTGAAAAAGCAATGGATTGTTTATGACACAAGTAGCAACAGAGTAGAAACAGACAAAAAGCAATAGGGGGGGGGGAGGAACTAGTCTGTCCCTTCACCTCACATCTCTCTAGAGATAATAACTGATTTATCAGCTCCAGAGAATAGAGAGGCACAAATTGGCTCAGTTGAATACGTTACCTAAACTCTGTTGGTGCAGAACACAAGCTTTTCAGTTGCTTAGAAGTCTTCAAAAGGCAGAAAGATGAGGAGTTGTGTGGCATGAAAATTCCACTATTTCAGCAAAAGCACTTCATTTGTCTAGGTTTTGACACTTGCTGGCATCACCAGTGATGTGTGAGCTCCCTCTCCTTGTCTTTCCTCCCTTCAACAGTGGAATTTCAGCACTCCTTTTCTTTTTCAAAATGTTATTGGAATGAATTTAGATCAGACTCTCCAGGATGTATTTATTCCTGCCAGACAGCCTTGAATTCCTGCCAGTTTTGTAACTCCTTCGACCTTCTATCTAAATCTGCTTCTGAGGAGTTCATTAATTTCTTGCATTAGTGCTCCTCCTACAGGGCCTCATCAGCTTCTCAGCTTAAATGATACAGTGTGATCACTGGATCCTTGGTTCTCTCCAAATGCTATTTAATAATTTGTCATATCTTGCTAACTGCAAGTTATTAACTCCAAAGTAGCTTCATATCTCATTGGCTGTTCATATGATCTTCCTAAGTAAGGATTTTGATTCAAGACTGGGTGCTTGAAGCAGTATGTTTCACTTAGCTGGCAAGTTCCTAAAAGAGTTCTAGGGTAATCTGGCATGAAATGGCCTTTGTCTATGTAGGCTGGTGTTACTTCTCCATCTCAGTGATAACTATTTAGTAAACAATGCCAGAAAGGAGCAGACCAGAGACCTATTCCTGTCTTTCAGACAGAAAAAATAGCACGCGAGAGTCATTTTTCCTTTCCAATCCATCATTTCCAGATAGGTAGGTAGATTGGATTTTGGCACTGCAACATTTTGTAACTAAATTATGTTGCAAACAGCCATTTCTAAATTCCCATTGTTTATGTTAAAGAAAACTTTCTTCTGTCAGTAGTTCAGCAGACTTTACACACAAAGCTACCTTATATCAAGTTGGAACCTTTATCTGCTGAGGCCAATACCATCTATTTTTTCAGGTACTGACTCTACGAGGTTTGATTCCCCACTCCTCCACTTACAGCTGCTGGATGACCTTGGGCAAGCCATAGTTCTGTCAGAGCTGTTCTCTCAAGGACAGTTCTGGAAAGAGCTCTCTCAGCCCCACCTACCTCACAGGGTGTTGTGGGGAGGTGAAGGGAAAGGAGTTTGTAAGCAGTTCTGAGACTCCAAAAGTGAAGGATGAAGTATAAATCCAATCTCCTCCTCCTCCTCCTCCTCCTCCTCTTCTTCTTCTCCCCCAGAAAAAAAGCCCTGCCAACTTCTCACTACAACTCAATATCTTTATTTGACTGTACCTGTTGAGGGGCTGCTTCTGATTTCAGATGATCCCCTCCAGTTTCCAAGGGGCCCATGCCATTTTCCAGCACCCGATGCTCTCTTTCATCTGCTACCTCTGGGAGGGTAGGGATGCTCTGAATAGGAGGTATGGGCTTAAAAGTGTTTAGCGGTCTTTGAGAAGCTGATCTGGAAACGGATGGTCTCAGGGAAAGGTCTTTGGGACCACAGGAGTCAGCTGAGCCTGCCAACACAGAACACAGGATGACATTAGAAACGGGAAACACTGGGAGGCTAATTCTTCACAGGGTAGATCACACAAAGGATGTTCGTCTCTGTGAACTTAAGCTGTAGCGAACAACACACTGCATCCTTAATACAGGCAGGTGCTTTTCCCATCTCAGCAAACTGCACATCCCAGACTCATCCTCACAATGATCCCCATCAATCATCCCAGCTGATGGGCTGGGCACCAGCGTAGGCCATGATCCCAAATGTGAATGGGCTGTAGCAGCTGGATCCACTGCACAAGTGTATCTCATCCCTGAAGCAGGTGGCAAGTAGGCATGTCCCTAGGTTTAAAACAATCGTTTTAAAAGCATCCTTGGGATTGTGCCTACTAATAATGGCATTCAAAGCAGAAAGTAAGTGAGGGCAGTGTTACACCTTGCATTTTTAGGTGTACTAATTAAAAAGTCCATTTATTTCCTTCATTTATAGCCCACCTATCTTGTTGAGACTCAGGATGGACCACAACATATAAAAACAATGCAATTGAAGAGCACAGGACATCCAACAAGCAATGCAGTAGGAGTAGAAT